GTTTTTTTTTGTATGTATGTTACACGATAACTCCGGTATTTGTGAATCCATTTTCAAGATTCTTTTTTTGTTGGAAATAAGGTATCTCCATAGTGGTTCCATTTAATTTTGAAGAAAATCATCGACCTCTAAGGGTGGCTGTTCACCCATGAAGATTCATTTTTATAAATAGCGCCTAAATTTTATTATAAGGAGCAATTATTTTAATGCTTGATTTTGCTATTCTCCAATTCGAGGCGTTTTTCTCTCTCAATATTTTTTGAGTAGTGAGAACCGATTTTTATTATCTCCTGTGTCAAGTCCCGTATAGTGGCGAACTAGGGGATGAATCCGGGTTTGCGCACTTTCCGGTAACCAATTTCAATAAAACTTGGTAATTATATGTAATTCCACGTACTTTTGAGGTCGGTTTAGTACTCTGTGCTGAGATTATTGTTATTAATAATTCCTAATTTTATTTTAATAATGTTTTAGTAAAGTAAAGACATTAGTGCCCTCAGAATGTTGCCTCTACGGGGTGTTACATGTGAAGTACCATTAGCATAAGAACACCTGTTGTAACTTGCAAATAAAGGACATGAATATGGCGAACCTCCGTGTAAAATTTTGTTAAAATAATTTCGTGAATGAATTTGGTGAGTATTCGTATAATGGTATCGGTGGCAAAAGCTATTACGCCTTATTAAGTTATTATAATAGCGTAGCGGCGTAAGTTAGTGCGTCAGACATACAAAAAAGAATAGTCCGTCGTGTGACGTGTGGTGTAAAGGATAGAGTCACTAAATTTAAGTTAAAGCGTAGTTAATTTTGTCGCAATATGACATCGAGTATTTAACCAGAAATCGAGGCAAAATGTCATCTAATTTGTTTGAAAACTATTCTGCCAAATCATTACGGTGACAACTGCTCTCCGATTGGCCAGCCCGAATTCGAAACAATTGACAGGTGTCGTCAATTGTTTCACTTCAAATCGACCACTTAACTTGAGCTTTGCTGTAATGGACGAAAATTGCAAAATTACATATTTAATATTTAATTACCGAAGAAATTTGATTCCGTTTTGTAATTAGATGTTTTGCTGTTTTTCTCCGCACCATCGAATGGAACAGCACGCCATTGTTAGAGATATTATCTTTATTACAATAAATACAGAATATTTTTGGAATATACGGAGACGTACACAGGCCAGTTATTGGCGCTGTCTATATTTCAATGCTGATGAGTTACCAGGTATGTATGACCGTTATTTCGACCCTGTTTTTGGTTATATACTCAATGGAACATGATAAATATAAACTGGGCGTTAATTCAAAGCAATGATAGTTGCACGAACCTTTACTTTCCTTGTAAGGTCCTGGGTTTGTTGGATTATTATGTATTTTAAATATAATTTAAAATAAAACAAAATTAGCGGCGGTGGCCTAGTGAAACGGTGTGATCTCAATGGACAGGTGGACGGTTCGATATCCTGTGGTAGCATATACCTATATTTCATTTGACCTTGGAAAAGAGTTCGTCCTGTGAAATACTGCCACCTTGCCTACTTCTGCCACCAAGCAGTAATGTCAACATGACTGTTTTCCAGTTTTGAAGGGTGAGGGTGCTGGCGAAATTAGAAGCACATGTGACGGTCGCTGTGGCAGTGCCCCACAGATCTTTCCGATTTGAAGCTCTGAGTGGCACTGTTAGAGACAGGCGTGTAGCATACCTTCAGGCGCACGACTTGTTCGTCCCGGCACTTGATATTATATTGTTAAAAACCTAAGTATAACTTTAATGTCTACATATATTACGCATATTTGCATTGACTTACAAATAAATGGACGTCGGGTCTAATACAAAAACCACGAAAAAAATGTCCCAAGTCAACCTATTTAAACGTAGTGACATGTAAAGGAATATGAAAAAGCTAAAACGTTGAATATAAATTGTAATGTCATCGCAGTACTGTCTAATTTTGCTTGCTTCGCTGTCAGTCGAACAAACGAAGACTAAAGCGTGAATGATGCTCTGTATACGATTTTAACGCCCTATAAGTTCGGACACTTATTTAGCGCGGACCCGACGTCCATATAATTGTAAGTCAATACATATTTGTAAATGTTTTCGTAGTGATATCTCTAGCTATACTTCAAACCGCATTGGGCCAGCGTGGTGGACCCATGCTCGGCAGTGGAATATATATTGATACGGCACATTAGATAAAAGATTATCTTTTATGTGATTTCTTATATCGCTTCGTACAGAAACCACAGACCTCTATTTCCAAATTTAACAGTCCTGTTTCACTTCGTCCAAAATTTTAGTTTCGCAAAAAAAATATAAATTTTGTATCATAACCTCCTTTCTAATCCGACCTTGGCCTTCACTGAACCCTCGGTTAAACTTTAACCTTAGTTTTAACTGTTACCTCCTTATTATATCGCAATGTGTTCACATTATCTTACAGTTGTACCCAACCCGGAGCGCAGTCGAGGTCTCAGTTCCATAAACCAAAATAGTATATGATTATTTGAACAAATCAAAAAAATCTGTGTGTTCGATCTTTCTATTTATAATCATAACAAAACTAATGGAGTTATTTTACAAAAAATCTAAATAAATACAATTTATATTATTTTCTTTGTTAACTTAAAAAGATATGTTATAATTTTAGATACGACACAAACAATCAACTGTTTCCTCGTTTTAAATACAATTAACTAGTAATAAAATTCTTAAACCAAGGACGCTCTGCACCTCATTAGTAGAGTTCAAATTTAACATTGAAAACAATTGGGTTACTAAAGTTAAACTTAATTTTATAAAACAGGTAGAACGTCTGCGAATTTGATGGGCATCATTAGGCGTTGAATGTTTTGCAGCTGTGTGACATTGATTTTAATAATGTTTCAAGGTAATGTAATCACGAAATAAGTAATTATATCGTCATCTACTAAGGTTTCTTCGAAGTCCAGGTTTCTTCACGATTTTTTCCTTTACCATTCGCGAATGGTATTGCTATGATACCAAGGGACTGGACGAACAAGTCGTGCGCCTGACGTTAAGCGACACGCCTGTCAATAGCAGTTTAAATCGCAAACATCTGAGAGACACTGCCACATACCTGACACATAAGTTGACTAGTCCCATGTGCCTGTAACTTTACCAGCTCCACATTTACTGCTTGGCGGCAGAAATAGGCAAGGTGGAAGTACTTCCCAGGATGAGCTCTTTCACAAGGAGCTCTACTGCTATTAAAAACATCTTTCGGCTAACTTTAGAATTAAAACCTTAAATTCATGTCTAAAATTCAATGTCTAATTCATTCATTCATTCATTCATTCCGTTTCACTACCTGCCGCATTCCATCGCGTACTAAAAGGTTCGGTGGCTCCTTTCTCTGCCGCACGGTTGACAAATGGAACTCCCTTCCGGCACATGTCTTCCCTCCCTCTTATATGGGGTCCTTCAAACGAGGCGTGAAGAGGCATATTGTAGGCAGGCAGGGTGGAGGTGGCTAGTGCAGTGAGGGTTTCATCGCTGCACTAGGTTCCTTCGCGTTTGGATACCACTTTCCACTTAACATCAGGTGGAGTGGAGTCATTTGCCTGTCATGTATTAAAAAAAAAAAATATTTAATTATTTTTGGGTTATGGATCATATATTGGAACGTGAAAGAAATCCGTAGTAAGTTCACTGTTGAGCTTCACTATCTATAAACTTACATAGTCAATGTGTCAATGATATAATTAATATGGACATGCTATAAAATTAGTATAAATATTTATTATTTTTGTATATCGTCAAAATTGTTTCGTTAACCATTCAAGGGCAGTTGTTACGTCACATTTACGAGAATTTATTAAAGATTATATAAAATTTTGTTGCCATAGTTTGTATGCGCCGTTTATGAAAAATATGTGAATATAGACTTTAAATTCTTAGGTAGTATCCGCGCTAGCTTAGTTGGTTTACCAAAGGGGACGTAATCCCGTGGTCGCGTGTTCGGGTCCTGTCGAGTCGAAGGATTTTTTTTCTTCGGGTTCCATTTTTGTATTTAATAATAATAGTAAACTAGTGGATTTACTTCTACAAATAATCTCAGTACAGTTAAATGGGCCCACTACCGAGATACCCTCTTTCCAACAAAAAAAGAATCTTAAAAACCGATTCACAAATGCCAGAATTACTGCGTAAAACATGTACAAAAAAACCAGCCGAATCGAAAACCTTCTCCATTTTTAAGTAGGCTAAAAAATAAAACAAATCAATAATTGACTTGCTTTTACAATGCTACCTAGTTAAAGGTCAATGTACAATCGTTTTAACTCTAATACTGCAGACATTTGTTATTGTTCAATAAATTTAATAATATTGTTATTGATTGCGTCCTTCAGAGAAGTTAAATTATTTCAATAAAGCTTGGACTTCGATAAATATTTATGTATACTCGGCTACGGAATTTGAGTTCAAAAATGTAAACAAACAACTGTCAGTATCTTAGTAAAGAAAATGTTGACACGAGAATCAATTTTTTATGTAGTGGTGATATTAAATAGGTTGTTCAATAATTTCAGTACAGAGTACTAAGAAAACCGACCTCAATAGTACGTGGAATTACATATAATTACCAAGTTTTATTGAAATCGGTTACCGGAAAGTGCGCAAACCCGTATTTATCTCCTAGTTCGCCACTATACGGGACTTGACAAAGGAGATAATAAAAATCGGTTTTCACTACTCACAGTATATTGACAGAAAAAACGCCTTGAATTGGAGAATAGCAAAATCAACATACATAAAAAAAAGCATGCAGTCGAATTGAGAACCTACTCCTTTTTTTTGAAGTCGGTTAAAAAATAATACATTTAAAATGCACAATATTTTAAAACATGCATTTCATACCTATTCACATTAGCGCAATTCTTAAAATATATTTTTTGTAATAGCAACACCTTTTTTTACATTTTTATCTCGAATTCTATCGCCGAGTATAATTAGCTTTATTGCAAGAACGGTCATTTTTTGTCATAAGCATTTTTAAATAACCATGGGCCTTCATTCTTCGTGTCCCTATATTGGCCCTGCGTACTTGCTATGTTGAAAAGGCCATAGACCTCTGATCTGTGATCCTTTGATGCGTAATGCTCTGAACCGTAGTACTCTGAACCGTAGTCCTTTGAACCGGCGTTAAATGGACCTGTGTTCTGAAAACCTGAACCATATTTCACTTCTGTTAGGTACCGTTTGATATTAGGGTCATTATTATATAATTTCTCATTATTATGTCCTCTATCTTCAATCCCTTTGTTAAGTGGACGCCAAATTTCTATCCTGTCATTATTAGGTCCTCTATGTTGAAGGCCATCTTTAATCGGACTTCTATTATCAAACCAGGTTTGCTTCATTCCACCCAGTAAAACATTATTTGTTGGTCGAGCTCCTATATTCCAGAATGATTTTCTGAAGCCTATAGATTCATTGCCGCTACAGTAATTCTCCCTCCATGGCTCAAAACTTATTGTGGGAATATTTGTACAGTCCGTTATTTCATTGCTGTGGGCAAAAAATAATTATTTTAATTTTTATTGTAACTGGGGTGTTAGGTAAACAGATATAATGTACATTGGTTTTCAATAGCCTTGGGCGTCCGCCATATAGCTTCAGGGTTAAGGTTCCATGAACACCTTTAAGTCATTCGCCTGGTGATAAGCGACACCCCTGTCCTTAACAGTTGCAGTGTCACTCAGAGCTTTAAATCGCAAAAGATCTTAGGGGCACTGCCACTACGGCCGTCAACCCTGGGACTCAAGTTAAGAAGTCCCATGTGCCTGTAATAAGTAAAAACGGTTCAAGCGTTTAAACTACAGGTGTTCTAGTATATAGTGTGTTTTTTTTTTCAAAGAAAGAAATTCGAAATTATGGTAGGTACAGGGGAAAGTGTCTTAGAAGAGGTTATTTTTTTTTTTCACAATAGAAATTTGACACAGTCAATTCTTTGTTCAAGTGAATAATGTTATCTTTTTTTTTTAATTCTAATCGACTTATTTCATCGTATCGGAAGAAAAACTCGAGACAGCTGAAGTTGGTCAAATTCAATAAAATGTTATTTCGTACAATTTGCCACCGTAACAGAATTTAATACACTGATCCTAGTAAAAAGAAGGGTGAATAGTTGTCACTTAGTAGCAGAAGAGGTAATACTGCCACCTTACGTATTTCTGCCGCCAAGCAGTAATCGAAGTCAGTTTCGAAGGGTAAGTAAGGGTGCTGGTGAAATTACAGGCACACGAGACTCTACGTCTAAGGTGTCGGGCGCAGTGGCAGTGCCTCTAAAATCTTTGCGATTTAAAGCTCTGAGTAGCACTGCAACTGTTATGGACAGGCGTGTCGCTTATCATCAGGCGCACGACTTGTTCGTGCCGTCAATTGATGTTATAAAAAAAAATTGTTTTTTACAAAAAATTCACAAATGCCGTTAGAAGTTATCGTGTAACAAACATACACAAAAAAATACAGTCGAATTGAAAACCTCTTCCTTTGTTGAAGTCGGTTAATAAATATTACTCTCTTTATATTTCCCCGTCGTAGTCGAACAACAAAAACGTGACAAAATTTCCAGCATTGTTTTAATGAAAGCGATGGCGACTAACTTGTGTCCAGGCATCAGGAATGGACGAGGCTGTACGGAGTACACATCGTCGCCATTGTCGCATAAGAATCTAGCCATTGTCATTCCACGGATTTGCCGTAATTGTTCTGGAACACATATAATATTTAAATTATACATAGATTATACTTTATTCTATTCTATTCCTTAATGGTGGCCACTAGGCTTGGGCCAGTGTCAGTTTCGTAGGTTCCATTTATATAATTTTTGACACCTCAAGGTCCTAATGCGTTTCCGATTAGATTTTTTTATAACAATCGATTTTATTTATGAAGAATGTTATACGAATGAATATTATGCTATCAGGCTTCTAACAAAAGAATTCATATCAAATACTTGTACTTATCTAATAATTTACGCCACTTACTCTTAAAAACGATTAAATTTCACAATTTGATAAATGAATTGGACTTAAGAATTGTTTTACATTTTTCTGGTTTACCAGGAAGTTCATCAAGAACGTCACTTGGCAATTTATTAAGCGGTAATGGTAACATACATTTCCAAGCACGCGTTCCCTAGTTGTTATTGTACGGCGGAAGAACATGCTTTGGTAGGCAATAGATTACGCAGTTTACCAATTCTTATCGTTTGATTTAACATGGCAATGTTATCTATTTCATCGCAAATTATGTATTATATTGAAGATGAATGAGAATGAAGTTCTGCAAAAGAAGTCCGTTATCTACCCAGGATGCTGCGAGAGGCCATTGAAATTATAAAACATCCTAATTTCAACAGGGAAGATGGTTTCTCCGTACCACCAGTTTGGGACCCAGTATTTCCTCTAATGAAAAATCCCAAACAGATATAAGACTGCAGTACTAATTAATATGTTTTAGTTTATTCTAATTTCTATTATTAATTAATAATAAATTGAACTTATTAAAAATTCATTCAATAAAATAATTTTAACATTAAAACTTAATGTAGCGTAAATTGGAATGTTTTCTTTGTGCAATTAAAAATAAGGTATTTAATTAATAACTATTGTAACTATAGTGAAAAAATAGGGTGGTTTGCATCAATATTAGACATAACTGGTTGAAGACTGTACCACCTCAGTCAACCGTGACCATGGGACCTGTACCTTTACAGGTACAGCCGGAAACGTCGGTTTGTTTGAAAAACAAATATACGCGATTTAAATCCGGAAAAATAGTTTCATTTCCTATGTGTAACAATCGCGAAAACCTAAGAACTCGGAATCTTATTTGTAATTAAATAAATAAATATATATAAATATATTTAATAAATATAAATTTTATATGTTTTACTAAGTCATAAATATTTTGTATGTTCTACCATAACTACTGCAAGCAAGCATTACTGCGTTCCGGTTTTTGACTGGTAAAGGTGACTTATGTCTCTGGGTGACGGGCGCAGTGGCAGTTGTTATGGACAGGCATGTAGCTTTCCATAAAAATCTTATATAAATAATATTGTTACTAAAATCTTTATATTAGTGTAACCACGGGCCATGGGAAGCCAGCTTTATATACAATTTACCTGTAGTAAACGCTCCAGGGTGCTGATTATTCTCAAACCAGAACCTATCAGCTCTTCGGAAGTGGATCAACTGCTCAACATAAATGCACAGGAGTGTTGGACTAAGTGTAGTTCCAGGCGCTGGCTTCTCGGCTAGTATACCGGCTAAAAGGTCTATGTCTTCTACGGTTTCATATCTGAATCTTAGGCCATCCACTTCCTGGAACAGTAGGTCATCATATCAATACCTCCAATGAACGCAGAGGTCACGGGTTCGATTCCCGGGTCGGGAGAAATATTTGTATGGCCTACATTTACTTCTCTCGTGAGTCTGGGTGTAATTTGTGGTTGTCTATTTGTGTGTTCATGGCACCCGCGATACAGGGTTTCCCTAGTGGGGGGTATTTAAAAAAAACTTCATTTTTTGGTCATCTCTGTTTTTTTTTTACACAATTTTTTTTTCTCGATTTTCGTTCTTCCTTTTTTTTTGACAAAATTCGGGGAGCATCGTATTAGTAAATAAATTAAAGTTTGTTTACATTAAAAACAAATATGGCCAGAAGATTAAGTTTTCATACTTTGTGAGTTGATAAGTTGTAAGTCAAAAATGTCTGTTTGATCACGTCCACATCAATTTACAAATATAAAATGCTTTACTTCTCTCAGAAAGGTCTATAAGTTACATTTCATGTATAATAACAAGTTCCTCCCTCCTTTATATCAAGTCGGTTAAAATGTCTAACAAGCAGCAACACATAAAAGCTAAATTATTCAAAATCTTATTATAATTGGATAATAAGGTTTTGAATTTTACAATCCAATTGACACAACAATGACATTGTCATCTGATATATTTTTCATGGCATTGGCCACTAACAAATTAGCCAAAAAAATACATAAAAATCCGTTCCGTTCTGTTTTACGTTACACAGTACTAAAAGTCCTTAACGATTTCCTGTAAATTGCAATTCAAAAAAATTATTTTTAATTCAATATTTTTGATTTTGAGATCTGTACTAAACCCCAACTTATAGCCTGGTTAAATGTTCCATTCATTTTAGTACCACTAACGGAATTAATCAGTGTTGCCAGATGATTACATCTTACAATTTTCGCAACTTTTGACCCACTTGCGTAATGTAAATGTAATTTTGGTTTTTAAGGCAATTTTCGTCTATATTTTTATTAACACAAAGATCGAACACTCAGAAAAAATTCCTTCGATCCGGCCGTATTCGAACCGACGTGTTCTAACATACCGTGTCCGACGCTACACCAACTAAGCCACGGAACGAACCAGCGGACCTCCAAATTTTTTATGTGCTTGTTGTCGTATCTTTGTATTTGGTTTTTCAACGACTTTTTAGTTGTAGCGCCAAATGTAACCAAACTACAAAAACGCATCCAAATTAAACAACAAAGTAACTCAGAGGTGGCGAAAACAAATGTACCAATTTCCTTGAGCGTGTCTACATTTTATTTGGAATTTAGGCGTATATAAATAATTATTATAAATATCGCTAATACTTAGACTTTTGTTTAACAAAACGGAACTGCAACTTAACGCCCCCAATTACTCAAATCGTCTCATCCGTAGAACAAAGATCTATGTGCAAAACTACTTGTTCTCTCGACATAGTATATTTCGGTCGTTCTTCTTCGCTGTAGATGTCAGATCGATTTGTTCGATTTTATATTTCCGATACGAAATAAGATATATAAATCATCAAAACACCTTTACAATAGGCCTTGTCTGAATAATGAAATTATTCTCGTAACGTACTTACTTTCTTTTCGCTATATAATCACATCGGACTATGTTCTTCGGATGTGTCGAAATATATCATTTCACTATAATGTGGATCCGTACGTAATTAAACGAACACTGCGTGTTTTGTTGTATCGTATCCCATTTGCATCTTTTCTTATAGACAATGCGAACGCGTTGCATTCAAGAATTTGTGACTAACATTGATAAACTTACGGATTGTCCCATCCACTCCAACATGTCATCAAATTTCTTGGGTACTGGCAGATGGCAGAAGTCCCTGTAATCGACGTAGGGGGGCATGGCTGCTTCTCGGTTCTTCATCAAATCTAACGACACTACGTCGGCAGCGCGTTGTACACCTCCCAGTACTCTTTCTCCCATCTGAAACAATATTATGTACCCTCAATGTGACGATGCAGGAACAAGCATCTGGTGGGGTATCGTTAACGCCTACCTATAAAAGATGCAGTTCCATTCAGAGCTTTAAAGACCTGAGAGGCTAAGTTGACAAAACCTATATGCCTATTGCTTCACCTTTCAAAGCCGGAACGCATTAATGCTTATATTAATGTTTGGCGACAGAAATAAGTAAGATTGCAGTACTTCCATGGACGAACACTTTAACAAGGTGCTCTACCGTTACTGAACAACTATTCGGAACGTGATATGACATTTTTTTATATATGACAAAAGTCTATTTGACTTTGTCCAAGGCTTTGGAAATGTCCAAGGACACTGCAAGGATTTCGCCTTGGCCTTCGATTGCCTCGCACCACAACTGAGTGGCATATGCAAGACGAAGATCGGTCTTGTGTAAATTGAGTGACATCTTAACCTACCCGGAAATCTTCATAAAATAATCCATATACCTTGAAATAAATTTTCCTGTCTTCAATGGCACACAAATGACCATCCACCACACCTACTGTGTCTACTAGAAAGTAATAACGGATTAAAATAACAACAACAAAATGCTGGCCACGCTTTTTAAAAATAGCAATATTTTAAAACCAAATAGAACATACCTCTGGATCGACAAGCTGATCAACCTCGGCAGTAGCCTGTCTGAAGAATCCCTGAATGATGCCTTCAATGGTGTTGTTTATAGGCAAAATTCCTGTTCGGAGAGTCAAGTCCACAATCTTCAGCTCGTCAAGAAGCTTGCCTTTGCGACTGTATTTCCTGGGGATAGAATTTTAAGAATTACACCGTGCAGTATGCACACTTTTCTAGGAACCACAGTACCTTTTCCATATCTCATTATATTCCTTTCTAATGCTATGGCATTAGAGCTCCTCGTGAAAGATTCCATCTAGAGAATTACTGCCACCACACCTTTTTTTGCCGTTCAACGTCCTCATTTAAAAGGTGCTGGTGAAACTACAGCTACACTTGTCAACTCTATGTCACAGGGATACAGGCGCATTGGCAGTGCCCCTCAGATCTTTGCGATTTAAAGCCCTGGCCAGCACTGCAACTGTCATGGACAGCCTTGTCGTCACCACTCCCGCAGTGCTTGAAAACCAGGGTATACAACTAATGCGTCCTACCGGTCATGACTTACGGAGCCGAGACGTGGAATATGACGGTCAAAATGGCTCACAGACTACACGTCGCTCAGCGAGCTATGGAAAGGTCTATGCTGGGTATCTGGTTAAGGAACAAAGTCCGGAATGAAGTTATCCGGCATAAGACTAAAGTTGTGGACATCGTCCAGAAATGTAGCCAGCTGAAGTGGCAGTGGGCTGGCCACATCTGTCGCAGAACCGATGAGCGATGGAGTAGACGAGAGTGGAAACCACGTCTCGGCAAACGTAACGTAGGACGTCCCCCGGCAAGATGGACCGATGGTTTGTAGAAGAACACGTAGTGGTTGGATGCGGAAAACGGATGATCGGGCACTATAGCGTACACTTGGGGAGGCTTGTGTCCAGCAGTGGACTTCAATAGACTGATTGATTTGATTTTAATTTGATTTCGATCAGGCACACAACTAGTTTGTTCCTACATTCGATACCCGAAAGAGGTACGCTGGCTGCCATATCAAATACGTCCCGTAGTTTAAATTTTAGTTACACTATCGCAATGGACACCTTGTTTTGTAGTACTGACAAACATGCCAAAAACTCAGCGACAAACTATTGGATACCATCTTCCACTGAACACTGAATCTCTAACCCCAATCTCATGATGAAGCGAATAGTAATAATTATTTACTTAAGCCTGCCATCCACTATAGTGTGGAACCATCTCATTGCAATGACGAACTCAATGCTGACTTTAGGCTCCAACTTTGGATCGTAATCGTTAACGTGGCCCATTGTATCGTAGATGACGCCATGCTTCAGGAGGTAGTGGCTGCCTGGATAAATATTAATAAGTAAATATTAGACAATATCGTCAACAAAATAACCTTTACGCGTAAACTCACTTATATATCGAACAACACTGTGCTATTGATTAAAAAGGAAAGAACATATACCCAATAAAGGAGGTAACAATTCATAATACGTTATGTGATTGTTCATCGCAATGTTGATCTCCCTGGCTTCCCTGAAAATCTTATCATCATCCCAGCAAGGGTTCAGGATTTCCAACTGACGCGCTATGCGGTTATGATTCCGGAAGAACAAGATGGCGAGCACGTTCACTGGTATCAGTGTGTTGTAATTTGGATTAGCTGGAAAAAGAGACAAAACCTGATTGTTACGAATCAATTTATTCATTAGTATACAGGTTGCGAAAAATACATTAAATAATGAAAACCTGGGAGTCTACTCCTGTTCTCCTTTCGGCATTTGTCCGAAACAATAAAGGCTGTTTCATGTTACACCGTGCTGGAGCCTGGCTGTACTCCGCTCAAATATCTATGTATATACTTTTGTACGCACTTCATGTCATCGGAGCAGTCACCGAGTCTGTGTTACGGCCGAGACACGGTCGGAGCACGGCGTCAAATATTTTTTCCGGGTTCCATTCCGGCCCGATCGCGACACGTCGTTGAACTATTATAGCGTAACGGACTGTCCATTACGCAAGCGCAATAGCTCTCATCGTCTATTAAATCTTTGTAGCGCGTGGCAAATTCTCTTTCGGATTATCGTTTTCTCCAGACACCATCGTCTATTTCTAGTTTAAATTTGTGTTTTCAATACTTCGTCATCAAGAGCTATTGCAACAGCTGCCAACTCAAGTTGTGAAAATTGCATTAATAACACAGCCTTATGACTCAAGAGAGAAATAGGAAATAACAATCATGTGAAACATGATTCAATGATACTACTTGATCAAATCTAGAGACAATGCCAAGTATGAAGCTTCATTCGCATCATGTGTTTTTTAATTTGCTCGAGTATTACTTATTTGACAGTACTTGTTTCGAACGTGTTGTCGGGCGGAAAACGAGACTATGGATGTCTACAGTTTGATATCACGTTTAAATCGTGTGGTCTTATACCACTACTAAAAGAAAGGGACTGTAAATCTAGGTCAAATCTCTTGATCACGTAAAAAGGAAGAGACATATATATATACATATACATGAACACAATTAGTTAATAGCAGTAGAGGTCCTTGTGGAAGAATTCGTTCAGGGTAGTACTACCACCTTACCTATTTCTGCCGCCAAGCAGTAATGTCAGCTTTACTGTGTTCCGGTTTTGAAGGGTAAGGGTGCTGGTGAAATTACAGGCACATGGGACTTGTCAACTTATATCTCAGGGTGTGTAGTATGTGCGCAGTGGTAGTGCCCCTCGGATCCTTGCAATTTATAGTTCTGAGTGGCACTATAAGTGTTATGGACAGGCGTGTAGCCTACCTACAGGCGCACGACTTGTTCGTCCCGTCACTTGATGTTATAAAAAAAATACCAGTGTAGAAAAGTTTGTTTTCTGTATTGACACGGCCAGGGATCGAAACCGGGACCTTAGAGATGGCGACACCATGATCACCGGTGCATACTTACGACTAGTGTGACATCTAGTCTCTAAGGGTAATTGGTTCCCAAGGCATCTTATTCCCCCGCTCGTTGGCCATTCTTTTCCATTGACCTGTTCCGATCGCCATCTTCCTCCTTGAAGCTCGCGCGTGCGCCGCATGGCCTGCTCGCTTATACCGTATACGATGGAGAGATCCAGCATCGGTGGAGCTGTATTCACCTTTAACATGCATGATGAGATTCTTTAAGACATTTATAAATAAATGTAAATATTTAACAACCTATACGTTGCTCTGATCCCAAAGCTGCTTGTGTTATGGAAATCGGAGACAGAGACGCTTCCACAAACATCCAGACTCGAGACAACGCCACCGAGTCTTTTCCGAAATATGTGCAGTTAAATTTATTATCTCGTGTAAGCGAAAACTGTGATGTGTTTTAGGCGTTCGGGAAAATTTACATAATAAAGATGTGTTAAAGTAAATGTCCCAAGTATCATTGTAATTGTTTTTATTTCTTTTCTAAATTATAGTAGCACTGATTTGAGCAACCTAATTTAATGGCTATAGCCCAGGATTGCCAGATTCGGGTGTCCGATCAGTAAGCAAAACTTACCCTCTCCAAAGGCAGGCTATTTGATACGCAGCCCAAATCTTGATAGGTCATGATCTTGGTCATGTTGAGGCATCGAATGTCGGTACGTCGAAGATGGACGTCGTCTTCAGGTACGTAGATTGGTCTGCAGCGAGGGTCAGATTCGCCTGATAAAAGTGGATCATTCTGGATTTTTTTTTATTAAAAAGCACCTCGATCTCACCTCATGGAAAGTGACGATGAGGTCGACGATGGAACATGCACACCTAAATAATGTCTATTCACTCTCGATTTGAAAAAGTTGGAATATCCACAACATGCGGGTGGAACCCCAGCCTACGTCTAGTCCCCCGGTGATGGAAAGGGGAAGGCGGAATTAAATCATGTCATTCCATCGCACACTGTCCGTTTAAGCCATACTCAAGTTTACCACTAGTCATTCAATTTATGAATTTGGATTCCTGAGTAAGTGGAGATCTATGTAGTGTTACCAGCTTGAGGCAGTTTTTAAAAGTTATTGTTGCTATAGCGCTCGCTCACCTCTCTCGCCCTTCGCTGCCGAAAGGTAACCAGCGCCCATTTTGCGAACGCTGTCACTGCACTCACTGTAGTCACGCTCTCGATGCTAAGCGTTTATTCATAATCATTAATCACGACACGATTATGTGAGTTACGAATTTACATTTTAAGAGTCTTTAGACAAACCAGAAAATCCCGAAATATCCGGGTTTTTCTTAGCTGAAAACCGGGTTACAAAATGGACGGTTACTCGATTTTTTTTCGTAGTTTTTAATCGTAGACAACAGAATTTTGGTTCACAACTAAAAAAAGCATTATAATTGATGGAATAACTACAGAAATAGAAAGACACATTTACCTGTAACGCAGCAAGTGGGAGTCGTAACAATGAAGTTAAAAGTGTCATGCGCAGTTGTAACATCGCCTGCCAGTAACAGAAGACTGCTCATGTGCAATGTCGTGAAGTTTTTGCTGACCGCTCTTCCGTCTGTTATTATTGAGGTGCGAACAGCGCGTACGTTAGGCAAGGCACCGCCTGGAGAATACATTAAAATTCTATAAACAAGACAATTAGGGCGCGTGTCCACGCTAAGAAAGGTCGCCGGGTTCATGCAAGAATTCGTGTCGTAAAAAAAATCTTGTCTACCCCCGACACAACGCGCTCTGCCGCTATTCTATGGGCCGCGACGAGGTGCATGTCAGTAAACGAAAGTTTATGCTCGTGGACGGGTGTTGCTTAGTAGTCAACATATAGTAGTAAAACGACAGCTCCCTGAAGGACTCGTAATGCACTGACACATTTAACCCTATACACGTCTGTCCAAAAGCATTCGTATTGTGTACATGCTCATCATTTTCTCGTCTGCAACAGACACGACTTGTTTTCGTGGCTAGATCCTACAAAGGTCTTGTCGTGTACAAGACTATTATCATTTTTTCTGTAGCAGATACGTCGAATTTCTTATCGTGTACACGCGCCCTTAAAATAGGCCAGGATAAAAAACCATTTTTTACAACTGCACAACACAAAAATACACAGAAAGAAAGAATAAACATAAGACACAGCAAAGTGTAACAAAAAGTAAAGTACCAAAAAAACGAAGTAAACCATTGACTTACAATTATATGGACGTCGGGTCCGCGTTAAAAAATGTCCGAACTTATAGGGCGTTAAAATCGTATACAGAGCGTCATTCACGCTTTAGTCTTCGTTTGTTCGACTGACAGCGAAGCAAGCAAAATTAGACAGTACTGCGATGACATTACAATTTAAATTCAACGTTTTAGCTTTTTCATATTCCTTTACATGTCACTACGTTTAAATAGGTTGACTTGGGACATTTTTTCGTGGTTTTTGTATTAGACCCGTCGTCCATTTATTTGTAAGTCAATGAAGTAAACATATCAAATTTTAAATATGATTGTGCATACAAAGATCGAACACACAGAAAAACAACAGACTGCGGTGAGAAAGTTATTCAAAAATCTCTCACTAGATGTCACTGGCGGTAACGAATGCCGAAAACACCGTTCCACAACCAGCCGTATTCCATCACGAACTAAAAGGTTTGATGGCACCTTCCTCTGTCGCACAGTTGAGAAATGGAATTCCCTTCTAGGGCACGTATTCCCCCCGTCTTACTATATGGGGTCCTTCAAACGAGGTGTGAAGAAGCAAGGAAGGAGGTAGCTAGGGCAGTGATTGTATCAACACTGTGCTAGCTTCCTTCATGTTTGGATTCCATTTTTAATTTTACATCAGGTGGAATGGAGTCGTCTACATGTCATGTTTTTTTTTAATTAATTCAATGATCTGTAACAAAAACACAACAGAAATATCTGCCTCTGTGGCCGAACGGTTACCATGTCCCACCAGGTCCCAGGTTCGATTCCGTGGCCGGATTTGTATGGCCTACATTTATTGCTCTCGTGAGTTTGGGAGTTATTTGTGGTTGTCTATGTGTGTGTCCATGGCACCCGCGACACAGGGTTTCCCCAGTGTGGGGATATGTTGAGTGTGTGCGTTATTATTATTAATTTCGGCGACTCGGTAACTGGACCCGTGGCTCAGATGGTTTTAGTTTGAGCAATGCTATCGTGCAACATGGACGTGTGTTCAAGTCCCATCGATTTTTGTATACGTAACCATAACAAAACTAGTAGAGTTATTTCACAAAAATCTCAATAAATAAATTTTAAATAGTCCACATTAAATGTCATCTGTGCGGCTGTGGCGTATGATATGACGATAATCCCATAACAAGAATGTGTCGCACTTACAATGACCTTATTAAGGACAATAAACAATTAGATATATTTAATTCTAAATGTCACATATTTAAAAAGTCCGTCTCAGATGTCCTCAAGTAGTCGTGTTTAACTGTAAAAATTAAAATAATAATTTCATTTTAACACGTTTTTCTTTCTTTTTTGTATTTTTTTCTTTTATATATTTGTAGCAATATAAATTTTGCAATATATAATTAATTGACAATAACTTTCAAATCGGTTCAAATCTAGATTTAAACAAATTAATGTGGATGTTGAGTGTTGTATTCGTCTAATAAATAAAAAAAATATTCACTCAGCTAAGGTCACAGACGAGAAGAGCCTGTGACAATATAAAATATATACAATAATCATTGACTTACAAATAAATGGACGACGAGTCTAATACAAAAACCACGAAAAAAATGTCCCAAGTCAACCTATTTAAACGTAGTGACATGTAAAGGAATATGAAAAAGCTAAAACGTTGAATTTAAATTGTAATGTCATCGCAGTACTGTCTAATTTTGCTTGCTTCGCTGTCAGTCGAACAAACGAAGACTAAAGCGTGAATGACGCTCTGTATACGATTTTAACGCCCTATAAGTTCGGACATTTTTTAGCGCAGACGCGACGTCCATATAATTGTAAGTCAATGACAATAATATATATTTTATGTCAAGTTGACAAGTCCCATGTGCCTGTAATTTCAACAGCACCCCTTCTAAACCGGAACGCAGTAATGCTCTCATTACTGCTTGGCAGCAGAAATAGGTAAGGTAGTACCTCCCTAGACCAACTCTTTCACAAGGAACTCTGCTACTACTAAGCCCTTCAAGTTTTCGAGATTCACTACTTCTTTGTTTTATGTTATCCGAGTGTCGCCATTTGTAATTTTAAATATACTCACGTTATTTTGTATTAACTGATACACCGTGGTATTGTAACGGACTTCTGAATTCTTAGTTATTGTGGATCGAGTTTTAAAGGTCAGTTTTAATTTTTAATATAAGGGCAACGTATTTATAATATTTGTTTTTCATTAAAGAAATATGCCCTTTTTTATCAAGTGACGGGACGATCACGTCGTGATGGTAAGCTGCACGCCTGTTCATAACAGTTGCAGTGCCACTCAGAGCTTTAAATCGTAAAAATCTGAGGGGCACTGCCACTACGCCCGTCACCTTGAGACATAAGTTGACACGTCCCATCTGCCTGTAATTTCACCAGATACATAATGTGTCATTAAATATAATAAATCTTAATTATAATAATGAAAATGTGATGTTAACAACATTGAAAGTCACTCAATTTCATTTATTTTTTAAGTTATATCATTGACCTTTATTATGTTAATCACACGATGTCAAAATTGCGACAGAATTGTAGGGAATCGGCGATCGATCGCTGCGAATTGTGTGTTCGGGATGAAAGTCGGGTCAATGATCGCTATTCCCACGAACGTCACGAACTATAAGTTTCTTAATTCCGTATTACGCAAATAGGTATTGAGAAAATCTAACTTATTACCTGAAGAAGAAGGTCTATGATCGTAGTTTCTCCCGAAAACGGGAGGCAGCAACCTCCTGAACGGAGTCATTTGAGCTCCTGTCGCAGGGCGATGCAGGTTATTGCAGGAGTGGTCCAAGCGACGTGGTTCATTTTCGTCGCATGGTTTGATTTCTTGCGCGCAGTAGCTGCAATCAAAGGTTCTTCCGTCTTGAAGATGTCACAATGTGACATGCTTTCGAAAAAATGGTTACAAAAGCTTATTTGTAAATTTTTTTAACAATATAAAGTGACAGGATGAACAAGTCTTGCGCCCGATGGTAAGCCTGTCCATAACAGTTGCAGTGCCACTCAGAGCTTTAATTCGCAAAGATTTGAGGAGCACTGCCACTAGTATGGAGATTAGCAGTGCAGTCCAGGATTTATAGAAGGGAATGTCCACATTATTATTTACGTCACTCGAATTTTAGATTACGTTTCTCCTCCAAATTCGATCACTGATAATGATAATTATAAATAAATATTTAATAGTTACTCACGGTATCAGATTTTGGGCTTGGTACGCCGCGTATTTAGCCGGAGAGATCTGACCTCCGTAGAAGGTCTCGTAGAACTCTGTTGCCGCGCATTGCAGCAGAGCTAGAAGTACCGCCCAGCGCATACTGGAAAACAAATTGCATAATTCATTAACATAACGCCCACACACAGTCATAGCACGAGGGAAACCCTGTATCGCGGGTACCATGGACACACATAGACAACCACATATTACACGCAAACTTCAGAACATTAAATACGATAGAAGTGGTTAGTTAGCATCCGACGCGTGCCAACTATAGGTCTCCCAAAGACCCACTTGAGCTCCCCCAAGCAGCACACCCATATCTAAACATATACCATACGATATCTAACAGAATTTAATTCGATTGAATATTTTAGGGCACAACTTTAGTAGATCACAAGAGTTCTGTGAGAATCCCTCTGTAGGTAGTGTTAATAGTGATTCTTATCTTTTTTCTCAAGTAATCCTTCCAGAATGCTACAAGACCATTTGCAGAATGTAGACAGTTTTTAGTCTTGTAGACAGTTTTTAGATAATTTATAGTCTATGATAGTTTTCTTAGTAATGTTATTTTAAAACCAAAATACTAAATCGTTACAAACATAAGACGCAATTCTCTTAATACTAATAGATTTCAAGTTTAATGGCTTACAAAATATAAACTACATATCAAAATTGCAACATGGCTAAAGATATAATATTTCTGACTTTTTCGCGCAATGTTGAATCGGTTGGAAAGCGCGAATTGACGTGCGACTTTAAATACATTGTGAAAAGTTATTCAAAACCTGTTATAAAAGTAATGCGCTCGCTAAATTTTAAATATTTATGTATAAAAATACAGTTATCGACTTTCGGTTTTAAAGATTTATAGAAAGTTTCAATATACAACATAACTCACAAAACAAACCATTTCCAAGAAGTTCTAGGCTTCTTCAAGCTAATTTCAACTTAGGTTTACTTTTTAAAAAGAAAAGAAATTTTTCTCGGCTACTTCATAGTCATTTATTAAAAATAAAAATGGCGATAAGAATTTAAAGCTTTTTTCAAAACACTGTTGGGAGCATTTTGTCTATAACTTTATCTATAGAAAAACTTTACGAGTACGAAAAGTTTATTTTTCCTTGCTTTAGTGTTGATCTTGTAGAAGAATATCCACTCCTATGACGCTTTTGTGATTATCTACAAAACGCTATGTTTCTAAGCGATTTTTTCTTATGACAGTATTACAAAACGGTGAGCGTATTATGCAATAAAAAACTTTTCAAAACACTAGGTCAAAAAAACAATTTAAAAAATCCAATTTGTCGCAATAAACGTTATTCTGTATAATTATATGGAATGTAAAATGTATGACTAGAAAGGTGGATAAATTCCCTACCATATAAATATAAGGAATATTTTAATGACATGCCTAACTTATGTTGGAAGAAATAAAGTTTTCATTACAAAATTGAGGTTATTTCTTCGCGCCAACCACATTTCACACAATGATTTCACTGTATTCTATTTATAGACGGCACAATACACATACACGACATAGAAGTACAGTAGTTTACGCGCTCATTTCAATTGTTTTTACCACTTCAGAACACGGAATTATTTCACAATGTTTATTTATTTGTCAACAAACAAAAATGCCGGCTCGCGCGCGAATTACGACTATTGTATCCAGCGTTGCCAATTTGTGGGGAATTTCAACTAGATTGAGGATTTTATGGGGATTAGCGAGCGCTATTTGAGGAAAATGTAGGGATTGTAACATTTTATCATTTTGTTTAATCTATCAATTGCTGATGCAAATCTAGTTTGATCGTTACTGTTAGAAACACTGTGATGGACTATATCGACGTGTTTTTCAACATCGCACATCCCTCATATTATTAACAAGCAGCTTAAATAGAATTATTATTAGAGCACTTGGTTCTGAATTGTAAAATTACCAGTCGGTGCGTGTTGAGTTCGCGATTCTTTCTCTCGCTTAGGCCGGTCCCCGGTGTGAAGCAAAAAGAAATCAGCTATTGATAAACAAAGCCGAACACTTGCTACTTCCACGCCACAACTTACCACTCGTCAACTGTAAATATTAAATATAGGTCGAAACTCATTGATTATTTCGAACATTAACATACTGTCACCGAATGCACAACAAATAATCAATTTACTTAATTTTGTAAGGCAAAGAAAAATGTTTTTTCAAAGACTGATTACAGATTAATTTTGAATCTAATCAAAATAAATAAACGATTTAAGGTCATCTAATTTTATAATTAGTTTTACTTTTTACATTCTGTTTACATTCACAGCAAACGAAATAGATTTCTAATAAATAATGAAAACTCGGGATGTGGGGAATTTGTGGGGAATATGAACAGTGCTCTCCTCAAATTTGGGGATTTTAACCGTGATTTTTGGGGATTTTGAACAATTGGCATTGGCAACGCTGATTGTATCGAATGATGTGACTTAATATCTAAGGTTCACCGCCTCCACCAGATCTTTTAATATTCTTTACTTTATCCATTTTGCATGAACTCTTACAAAGTCCAATAGAGTAAAAACCCTAGTTTGTACGATTTTTAAATAAAATCTACTGAAGACGCGCTACAACGTGTTTGTCATAAGTACATACACTACGAAAATGCCTATAAATTAAATATATCTGGAATAAACTTAAGAACACTAGTTTTTAGAGTATTAATAGGCATTACTGGATGTGTATAGAACAATTTTACTAAAAATAATCAGTTGTGTGCGTAAATCTTAAGAGAGGTTACGTTTAATTAAGTTATTTGGTATTAAGAAAGTTTTGAAATTTTGACTTGAATGAAATAAGTCTATAAGAACAATTTCTTTTTTCTAAAACCATTTATTACTCACTAAACTATTAAAATCTCTAAATCTATACCATATTAAGACTGTTTATAGATATAACAGTTTTAAGGCGTATAAAAAATGCTCCTTGGGCCGATTTTCGCGGACCAAAAGCCCTCCTTCAAGAAAGTCGACGGATGTTGAGTTGGTACTCTCACCACAAATAAATTAAAATTCACATTTTGGCGTGACTCCAACTGCTCGACTCTTTGGGCAACATTACCTTCCATTTTATACGTCGTTCCACCTACCTGCCAAAATGTTTTATCTCGAAATTAAACAAAAAGAATATGAATATACAAAACACTAATGCTGCACGTCGACTTGAGTCTCACTGAAATATAACTCGTGTTAGTTTATTAAATCTGGAAGCTATATTTTTCACTTGATCGCTTATTTCCTGTTGTAATTCATAAGCCTAATTAGGTTAATCACCTTCTTTAATGTTGAAATTGAAGTATTGATTGTATTCCACATACACATTGACCTATTGTGGTCGACTACTCTACAAGCGCTTCTCGAACAGAGTTTAAAAAAAAGATGTTTAAAAAATATACATTTTTCTATTTTTGTACTTTAATATGTCAATTCAAAATTCTATTGTCTATGGTATTCACCACTGAGCTGCAAAATTCTATTAAAGTTCTGTACGCAGTACTTTGGTGAGTATTATATTTCTGTACACAGAACTATAATGAGTTTCAAACACAGAACATCGTATTTTTGCTAATTAAAATATCAATTAGTACGCTACTCAAACCCTACACTCGTACTGTCTCAGATTGGATAAATTTGGCCTAAAAATCTTGCAAGCCTGCCATAAATCTTTATAAAAAAATTATTGGTTATAATTTAGGCTGTACTTTTATTTTATTTTATTTATTTATTTCCACACTTAATCTATTTTTACAGGTTAGACCCAATACAATAGACCAGCAATAACCTATATCTAACTATAACATAATATGTAAAGTTCGTTCGTCGTTCGTGAATTCACTCAGAGAACAGTGGAATAGGTCGATCGTATTTGTTATTTTATTCAGTGTCCTCAACGCGCGCGTCAGCGGACGCTCAGCCAATGGATTGGTCCTCCCATGTGGCACCAGTAACAGCGGCGGCCGGCGACGTCGCTCCACGTACTTATCAGGAACACAATCCTAATATTCCTAACAGCATTGCATTATGTAGTATACCTGGGAATATTTTCCACAGGTACACTACTAACGCTAAGTTTCTGTGCACTTTTAGCGTATTGTACCCCACCATACCCAAGATGAACAGGTTCGGGTACATCAGGGAATAGGAGGGGCAAACACCGTATTGCCTTACTATTTACATACTTACCTACTTGGCCAGTTCTATTCTATATCTTTGGTTTTTCGTTTTGTAACGTTCATTGGTTTTCATCTAGGAAATGAAACTATTTTTCCGGATTTAAATCGCGTATATTTGTTT